CATGCATAAAAGTTATGATCACATAAAACTTGCAAACTTTCAAATACCGAAAGAAAGTAAAGAAATGCCTGGACATACGGATAAACGAAATATGATCCTTGATCCATCAGTGAAAACAAACCGAACACCTTGCTTTGATGCAACACTTCCATCCACCTAAACACTTAGACATGATCAAAGACAGACATGCCAAGGAAAGGAAAACTTTTGAAGCGGCTGCTAGGAGGAAATCACATTTTAGCAATTAAAAAGTAGTGTTTTAAACTTACAGGATCTGTATAGGCAAAGTCATCTGCAAATTTAAGGACATAATTTCCTACAATGAAGAAAAACTAAGCAGTCAAACATCGACAAGATCATTACAAAGTGTGGCAATAGAGGACGGAGTTTAATCACAGACTTACCATACTTTTCACCAGCCTTGCTTTTTGAGACGAGACTTCTAAGATGCTCTATCATTTTATTAGCTCCTTCAGATTCACATTCCTGAGGGTCCACACACAAGTTATTGCAGCTTAGACTTTTAAAATGAGCATGGTTTTCCAGAAAAAATAAAAAAAAAAAAACATTCTGTGATGCTTACTTCATAGTCATATCTAGAAAAGAAGTTTCTCCCATATGCTGCCCAGTGTTCTTTGACAACATCAGAGACAGAAACCAGTTTCTCCCCTGGTTTCTTGTCTTTGTTTCTATATGCAATAATTGAAAGCCAGGCCAACACAGCCCTTTCATTTGGGAAAAACAGAAACCACTATACATGATTAGCCTAATGGGTAAAGAATTTGGTATGTTACTTCTAAGCATTTTAATGAATGGTATAACGAAGACGGTTACCATATGCCATCCTTTTCACGAATGTGATCAGAACCTGTGCCAAAACTCTCTTCCCCACAAATTGACAACTTTCCAGCATCCATAAGATTTCCAAAAAATTTCCAGCCTGTGGGAACCTGAACACAAATTCCCATAGCTTGTTAGAAGAAACCATGTATTGGATATAATCCACACACTCCAAGCATACATTCCAAGAAAATCAAAATATATCAGTTGTGCTTAACCTCGAAAAAGGGAAGATTCAATTTTTCAGCAACACAATCAAGGGCACCACTTGTTGGCATAGACCGTGCTAAACCCTGAAAATTAGAAGCTTCAGTACAAATTTTAGTTTGAAAAAGAAAAAAAAAAAAAGGAAATATAAAAAGCTTACGTTCCCCACCTTAGGACCACTCTTGAAATATGGAATGGCTTCTTGTGAATTGGCAGCAATAACGGCAACTGAGTCTGAAGGAGTAACAAAAAATCTTTTGCCTAGAATCATGTTTCTATCGCCATCGCCTGAAAGTGGTAACACAAGTTGATTATGATTTAAAATAATGAGTAAATAGAACATCCAAAAGTAGTTTTTTCTTATGTAGTTATCCAACATACCATCACTTGCAGCTCCAAAATCAGGTCCATTCTCGCTGTACATAATGTTGACCAAATCCTTAGCATACCTGTTTTTAGTGGAAGTCAAAAAGGGCTAAAATTTCAAAATATAGCAAAGAATCTGCATCAATAACAGAATTGACTCTCTTACGTAAGATTAGGATCTGGATGACCATGTCCAAAATCCTCAAGTGGCAATCCATTTGATATGGAATCCTACATGACATACCTAACATCTTCATCAGAGATTTCAGTTCAAGTTATGTTAAATATTTTCAAGATATTTCATGTGCACAACATACCGGTTTGGCTCCTAGCTTGTCCACAAAGATAGGTTTTGCATATGCACCAGTAACAGCATGCATGGCATCAAATGTGAACCTGAAAAGTAATAACCAATATAATAAATAAAAGAGACAACTACCCTAATCTTTGAAAAGTATACAAACTAAAGATATAATCAAGGTCATGAACACATCTACCATACCACTGTATATAACTATAGACAAAAACTGAAATAAATGCAAACATGTAAATAGTTTAAATATCAGCAATTAAAGAAGTTCTCCAACTGAAAGCAAAACATGATAAAAAAACCTAACAAAGAGAAAGTTCCATTCCAAAACATTGAAATTCTTTCTTTTTTGTGTACTCCTTAATTTTATATATTTAGGATGGAAATTTTGAACCTGAGACTTCCCAGGGCCTCAGAATTGTCCTAGCCACTGGACTAACACCTTAATGGCTTGAAACAAATCTAACATGAGTGGACTGAAAATAGGTTTTCTGTTAAGGCCACAAATTATACCCGAAATCTGATCTTGAGAGAAGACTTTTGAGAAGCTGGAAATCAAATACACTCTGCAGAGAAAACCATAAGATCACTGATGGAAAATTCATATGAATTGCCACCCTAACATTACAGAGAATGAGTCTATTGATATTATGTTACAGACCTCCATCACTTCCAAATAGTCAGAAACTGGATCTACAACTTCAACACTGAAGTTCCCATACTTTGTAACTCCAAGACGAGAAAGATCAACATCAGGTATCTCTGCCATTTTAATCTCAGAGATCTGCACATTATTAACATATTTCAAAACTAAAACGGGATTATACAATTTTGATCTACCATTGCAATGAACAAACAAATGAACTGACAATAATATCCAGTAACAAGACAAAAATTTTAAAACCAGATAATATGTAGCAGAAAAGATTATACAAACCTCCAAAGAAAGGGAGAGAAAATTATCAAACCTCTAGAGTTAACAGGCCATACACGTGCAAAGAGGACCAACATAGGTAAACATAAAATTGGGGAAATAAAAGGAAGAGAACCTAGATAGCTGCAAATTTTTTTTTTTTTCACATGATTCTCCTGAAAAAGGATATAATGTGGCAATTCTATCCTGTATACAACTATACAATCCAGACAATCTATTCAAAAATAACTTGACTACAAGATCCATCCAGCTCTCTTCTCTGTTCATACAGTTTTACAAGCAAGAAACGCATATTGCCTGATTTAAGGAATTTTATAGAAAATTCAAATGAATTAACTAACAAGAAAGGAACACCACTTAAATAGAATACAAAATTAGAGACTGAGGTTTACAAAAAATAAGAAATGTCCATATCTCAAATGCAAGTTGTTTTCCAAAATCACAACTCCCTCCAGCATTTAACTTGGATCAAGCATTCAACTTAACCTTATGTAATTAAACTTGATTTAAAAATTACTGAAAGGGTTGGAAACCTATCATGTCAACACGGAACATGACTTTTTCTCTTTCCCCTCAACTTCATGAACACCCCCCAAAACCAACATCCACAAAACACACAGTACACACTTTATTGCTATTGAACCTACAAAAGATCCCTCACATTCCATGACCAACATAGAGAAGAAGTAAAATGAGTTGATTTATGATTCTTTGAAACTAAAGGAAAAAAGGTCCTCAGAAAAGAAATATAAACACATATATGGATGACCATTTCAGGCCAGGTTTAAACAAACAAAGCATTCAACTGTTTGAACAGAAACTTATTGCCATGAACCAAAAATAAATAAATAAATAACATGCACAACGTCAGATACATACAGAGAGCGTGTTTCCATAAATCTTGTCAGTGATGGACTCAGGAGCAGGTTGTCCACTGCTGTAATTAAACTACAAAATGAAAATATTAAAGAATGACATTTTAAATAAATAAACAAAATAACAAAAACAACTAGCAAAGTTACTGGTGATTTGGCATTGCCAACAAATTTAATAAAAGTGTTATATAAGCTAGGAAAATGTAACTAGAACTAGATTTACACCATAGTTAGTATTAGCAATTCACCTTGATACCCCAGTCATATTCAGGACCTCCAGGATTATGGCTAGCACTCATAATAAATCCACCATTGGCCTAAAAAAATATATTATTGACAAAAGTTTGATACAATGCATAGAAATCTTAACAGGAACGCAGAGATCAATATAAGTACACACTTGCCTTCCTCTTCCGAATCACTGCAGAAACAGCTGGCGTGGACATAAGACCCTCTCTATAAGGCACATAGTAATTTTAGGGGTTCAGTTATTTGGCATTAATCAAAACACACACTCACACACACACACACACACAAAAGAGACCAAAAAAAGGGATAAAATTCCTTACTAATTCAACTAATAGTTTAATCCAAACATTTAATGCAAAGGGCCTCAAACATTTTGCATTATTTCCACGGTATGATTAAATGGTCCTCCTACAACACCATTCTTCTTGTGAACAAAGGACAAGCCCATACATCTACAATTAGAAACACTTACTTGCCAACTAAAATTTTTCCAACACCATTTCCTGCAGCAATTTTGATAATTATCTGCATTCCAAAACCAAATATCAAATTATCAATATTAAATTCACACATAAATGGAAAGAAGTATGCCTCATGCCCTATCCTATCGCTTTTCCTGTTCACAGTAAGAATGGAAAATGTCCCATTTATCTACCCACCAGTGAATTTGACAAGCAACTGGACACACTGGGTGACATATTGCTTTACAATGAATGGAAAAATTTCTCTTTCAAATGGGACCTATAAACGAGAAACACACGTTAATTAAGTAGCAATGCAGATAACAACCTGTGCAGCTTCTTTGTTAAAATAACGACCATCACCTCCTAAAACCAATACCCCGTTCTTGTAATCCACTGGTGGCAATGAATTAAACAGTGCCTGAAGATACAATTGCCAACTCATCAAGACAAAGCAAGGAAGCAACTGACAAAATCAACAAAAGCTACAGAAATTGAAAAAATTCAAACCTGTATCCAATTTGCAAGGTAATTGTCTTCCATAAAAACTTTAACCTACAAAAATAGTATTGAAAAAAATAAAGGAAAAGATCAATTGGACTTCATAGCTCATACCATCACCAGAAAAACATAAAAGAGCATGCCCTATCCGATCTTAAGTGTTTCAATCAGTTGGCCAATTCTTTATTTACAATCAATAAAAGTACCAAATCAAGTGCCCCTGATCACCACCTTGCATAGTCTTAACTAAATCATTTACATCATCAAGACCAATCAATATGATGCAATAAACAAATTAACAACCTTTTACCTTGCTCCAAACGGAAATCAATTGAAGAATAAAGAAATAATTAAAAGCATACTACAACGGTATACCTTTTTCCGAAGTCCACTAGTCCCGGTTTTCTGCCCTTCGATCGGCTTGGTCGGCACAGAACTAACCTGTAACAACCCAAAGCCAGAAACCAAAGGAAAAAAAAATCAAAGGAAGAAAGGAAAAGCAAGAATCAAAATGCATATGTATCTGCAACTATAAGTACCTTGATGCCTTCCGGTTCGGCAACGGTGGTGGAGGATGAAGAGGCATTACAGATGAACAAACGTGAATGCGGAATCGAAAACAACCTCGTTTTGAGAGGAAACTTAGGTGCGCGGAGCCGGAGAGAAGCTGATGAAAGCGGAGGCAAAGAACCGAGCGGAGGAGAATCCGATGACGGTCTCCTCCAGAAAGTCGAACCGAGGAGACTGTCTAGTCGGAGAGTACCGGAACAGGGGGCCATTTGCCGGTGGCCGATGGAAGACGATCGTCGAGAATCGAGTTACGGTAGAACAGTGGTCGTGTCGTTTGTGAGAGCTGAGCAGAGTCCAGAGTAATGCAGGGACAGATCCAGGAGTGAGAATGTGGTGCATTTCGAAGCTTCCAATTTTAGTAAAAATCTAGTCTGGGGGTGCCACGTGTACGTCGGAAATTTCCTATCTCGACAGAGTCATCATGTGAACCGATTTTCCCTCCCTAAATCATTGCCGGCTAACCACAGAAAAGAAAAGTATTTAAAGTATAAACCTAAATCTTACGTCATCTTTGATTTTGTTTTCTTCTTTTTCTTATGGAACGGGCTACGAATGAATCGGGCCTTAAGCCTTGCTGATATTTGGGCTTGAGGGGAGGTAAGGTCATTCCTTTGTTTAGTTACGAAAAAATTAGTGGGGATGAGAGAGAAGTTATTTATTTTATTTTTTGTTTTTAATTTCTTTAATATATAACCTTTTTTTCCTTTACTTTTGTTGAGAGGCAAAGCAATAATTTATTAAAATTTGGACTACATGGGGCACTCCTCCTTTGCATATCAATTTAAATAATTACATTAACATTTCAAAAATATTATAATTATAATGTCACGTGACATTATAAGTGTACAATATAATATATCATTATATAATTAATTCTTTTCATTTAAAAGTTCACTCGTGATATTGTATACATTTACTTGTTTAATACAATATAACGTTATATTTCATTAAATGCCACATAAGATTGTAAGTTTATAATCTTACATAACATTATAATTATGGCATTACGGTTATTTACCAAAGATTATTTTTGATGTTTAAAAAACTTTGGAAAACTTTTTAAGAAAAATATTCTCCATTGTTTAGTAAGTTATGGGAAATCTTTAATTTTTTTAAATATTAATTAATTAAAAATTAAAAATTAAAACTAAATATTAAAAAATTTTAAAAAAAATTATTGTTTTAAATTATGTGCTGCATTAGTAATACAATAGATAATTTAAAATTAGTAAATGTGTTTTTAATTATTTTTTACTCTGTAATATTTAGTTTTATCGCAAATGTATATCACTCACTTTTAACTGCAGCCTCATTGCATAGATATGGAGGTGGGGACCATGGTTTCACAACAACCTTTGGAGATCAAAGATTCCAGCAAACAAATTTGGATCTGCATGGAGAAAGCAGGTTGATGTACCATTTAAATAATAGGCCATCCATTATCTAAATAATTTAATAATTATTTTTTTATTAAAAATAAAAAATTTTAAATTTAAATAACATAACATAGAAATAAAGTAAAATAAAAAAATAAATAAATAATAGGCCAAACAACAACAAGCAGATCTAAAGGATTCGCGTGTTTTCACAAAAGAAAAAAAAAAAAGAAAATGGAAAAAGAAAAAACAACTTTTGGAATAAAAATCAGAAAGTTATTTTCGAAGTTTTCTTTACGTGATTTTCTGTTGACTTCACTTTTTTTCTTTGACTTATTTTCTATTAACTTTCCAAACACCAAAAAATGCTATAAATTATTTTTTGTGAACAAAGAGACCCCAAATCAAAATCTCAAAACTAAATATATTTTTTTATTTTCCTCCTCTAACTTCCCTCTCTTTCATTTGTTTCCCTCAAACTAAAAATATATTAAGTTTCAATTCAAAATTATAGAATAAGTCCATTATACAACGAGAATCCTAAGTATCCCAGTCAAATAATATAAATTCACATGACTCTCCATCATCAAATTAGATCATCTCATCTCCAGTTTAGCTGGTATTGTTTATTTTCTTTTTCTTTGGATAAATGGAAGAAATCACCATTCCCTCTTGAAATTTGTGATGAATCGTTTTATGTATTGATAATATGCTTTTTATTAATACCACAAATCATAAATCGTAAAGACTATACTGTCATTTTACTAATAGAATAGTAATAATTTAAGTTCAATAACAAAATAAATTAGGTTATCAAGTTTAATGTTGAGCTCAAATTGAACTCAAACTTGAACAAGCATTGTAAAGATTATGTTTTCTACATTATTATTTTTAGTATCTTAATTATTATGCATTCTTCATTGTTATTTTAATTATCAAAAAAGTATTGATGTTGTTTAACCTTATATATTTATATTTTAATTTTTCTCTTTTTATGGTCATTGATTTATGACTAATATAGATGGAAGTAATGGTTATTGTAAAAACAAAGATGAAAGGAAGACATGCCCGTGCATGCAAAGTAACTAATTATTTGTAAGGATAGGTCCGAGGTGCTAAGCCTCGGACTACTACAATAATTCCTTTATGACCGAAGTAAATGATAAATCCAAAGCTTCTCGCTCAAACAGTTACATGACAGTAACAATAAGCATACCCGCACCAGATTCTTTATGATGACCTGCACAGCAGTTATGATGACCTGCACAGCAGTTATGATGGACATCCTTGCCTCTGAATATCTCTCAAATTCTCGGTCCCGAAATAATCGTCTGGATAGACATGTCAAGCTCCGATTATCTTGCTTGGCATGCCACGTGGGTTCCTCACTGGAGCATATAAATACCCCCCAGGGGCCACGTCAAAAGGTAATTGAAACCAATCCTAAGCTCATTTTATCTCCGCTTTAGAGGTAGCCCCGATTATTGCTGACTTAAGTATCGGAGTGTCTATCTCGAGGACCCACCTCGGGGCTTTGCAAGTCAATTCGGAGTGCAAATACAGACTGAAGAAGGACTTCTGGTTTGGTGCAATTACATTTGGCGCCGTCTGTGGGAATCTGAACTGAAAGCTCCCTTATTGCTCTTATCATGGTTAATACTCGATTAGTCTGAGCTGGAAACTCATCTCAGCCTCTTAGACGAGGTCAGCTCCCCAGCAATCTCCCACCTCACTTCCCACCTCTGATCCCAAATACGTTCCCTCCTATTGATCATGTCGAAGGAGGAGATGAAAACCAACCACACAACTCAGCTCATAACTCAGCTTCCACGGCCAACCAAGACGTAGATGCAGCTCATCTTGCTACCATGCAACAACAGTTTGGTGTCTTTCAGCTAGTGCTGGCTCAACTCTTAGCTCGGAACAACCCTGGTGATCCCCTTATCAATCTCCTTAACCCTACTCCACAACCCCCAGCTCCACAACAAAACCCTAAACCAGTTCAGCATGCTCCTGCTCTTAGTGAATCTCAGGGCCAATCTCACATAGCACCAGCTCAGCAACCCCTTCCCGATGATGTCACCCGGCGTCTAGACAGCTTAGAAAAGCTAGTAGCCGAACAACGAGGTGCCTCACCCTCACACCATGCTGCTGACTCCATACCCCACCAACTGAACACCAACATCACATTGGAACCTTATCCCGTTGGCTTCAAAATTCCTTAGCTTGAGACTTATGATGGGACAAAGGATCTCGATGATCACCTGCATGCTTTCTACTCTTGCATGCAAGCTCAGAACGCCTCTGACGCGTTGATGTGCAAAATCTTTCCCTCTACTCTCCGAGGTAATGCTCGAACTTGGTATTACAGTCTACCTCCGAAGTCAATTAGCTCTTATACAAAAATGACATATGCTTTTGCCACTAAGTTTTCCAGTAGAAGGTTGATCGGGAAAACTACTTCTGAGTTGATGCGAGTTAAACAGAGGGATGGAGAATCTCTGAAAAACTATATAAGCAGATTCAATGATGCGGTATTGGAGGTTAGTTCCTTTGACCAAGCTATGGGGATTACAGCTGTGATCTCTGGTCTTAACCATGATAGGTTCCGAGACAGTTTGATCAAACACCCTGCCACCACCTTTAGCGAAGTGAATGATAGGTCTTTGAAATTTATAACTGTTGAGGAATATGCCATGTCGCAGAACCCAACTCCCTTTAAGAATCAAAACCCAAAATGGAGAGATGACAATCCGAGTAGGAAAAGGATGAGGATGGCACAGAACCGAGGTCCGATGTCGACCTCTACACTGAGATTCGGAAGGCCGAACTCAACACCCCCACAACAATCTGCAAGTAAACGTCCAGTTAATTAGACTCCTTTTAATTTGCCGATGTCATAGATTTTTATGCAGATTAAGAACAAGATGGATCTAAGGTGTCCTGGCCCAATGAGAACTGTTGCTGTTAGCCGAGATCATACCAGATATTGTGATTTTCATCAAGATCACAGTCATACAACAGAGCAATGCAACAGCTTAAGGTTCGAACTGGAAAGTTTAGCTCAAAAGGGAATGTTGAATGAGTACATTCAAAGAGCTGAATAGCTGAGGTTTGTTAGAGAATAGAGGCCACAACCTCAAGGAGTCCGCAATCCACCAAACAGGCAAGGCGTGGGATATCAACAAGCCCCACCTCCACTCCCACCACCAGCTAGAATCATACACATGATTACGGGAGGCCTGGAAGCAGGTGGACTGAGCTCTAAACAGTGAAAGTTGTATGTCAGATAGGTTAAGCATCAAAACCGAGCCCAGAAACGAAAGTTTGACGACGTTAACTGGAAGAATCAACCCATTACTTTCACATCTGCTGATTTTGACACAGTTGTTACACCCCACAATGATCCTTTGGTCACTTCTGTCATGATTAACAACTGTGAAGTATAATGTGTCCTTGTTAACACTGGGAATGCACCAGACATCATGTACTTCCACTATTTTAAGAGTCTTGGATTGGATCCAGCATTGTTGAAGAAATATGATAGTCTCATTTATGGTTTCAACAACTAGCCTGTTTAGGTAGAAGGAGTTCTTACCCTCCAAGTTGCTTTTGGGAGTGGCCACACCTATGTGACTCCTTCAGTCTGGTTCCTAGTAGTCAAGATGGCGTCCTCTTTCAACGTTGTTATTGGCCGACCCACGCTGACTGAAATCCGAGCTGTGGTTTCCCAGTCTCACTTCTGCATAAAGTTCCCAACTCCTATAGGAATAGCAACACTGCAAGGTAACCAGGAGATGGCTAGACATTGCTGTATCATCTCGGTCACACAACCTAAGAAGGGCAAAGATCAGGCACCCGAGGCCATCCCCCAACGGATTTCTGATAATCAGCAAGTCATGGGTGTTGAGATAGTAGATAACCGATCGAAAGATGAACCTAGAGCTGCTCTAGTCGAAGATGTCAAAGAAGTGCTCATTGATGATAGAGATCCGAGCCGAAAGATGCAAATTGGAACTAGATTAAACTCGGAAGAAAGAGTAGAGCTAATAGCTATCCTCCGAGCTAACAATGATGTCTTCGTGTGGACTTCGGCAGACATGCTAGGAATTCCAAATTTAGTATCTCAACATAAGCTCAGCACCAATCCATTGAAGAAACCAGTGGCCCAGAAGCGACGTCTCTTCGGGGGGTAAAGGCTTCAGGCTATAAAAGAAGAGGTAGAGAAACTTCTACAAGCTGGTTTTGTTAGAAAAGTTGATTACTGCGAATGGATGGCTAACCCAGTTCTGCTGAAAAAGGCAAACAGTAAATGGTGAATGTGCATCGATTACACAAATCTTAACCAAGCCTGCCCCAAGGATTACTATCCGATGTCGAGCATTGACAAATTGGTTGAAACGGTTTCAGGCAATGAGAGATTAAGTCTCTTGGATGCATATTCCGAGTATCACCAGGTGCCGATGGCTCCAGAAGACGAAGAGAAAACCTCGTTCTATGCTGGCGATGAAATTTATTACTATGTCATGATGTCGTTTGGCTTAAAGAACGCAGGTGCTACTTATCAGAAAATGGTGACCATCGTCTTCCGAGCTCAGATCGGCAGGAATTTGGAGGTTTATGTCGATGATATTGTGGTAAAGAGCCTAAAAGCAGAAGACCATCTAGCTGACCTCGATGAAACTTTCAACAATCTTAGGAAGAACAGAATGTGGTTAAACCCAGCCAAATGCATCTTTGGCGTCAAGTCTGGAAAATTTCTAGGTTTCATGGTTTCCTGAAGAGGGATCGAGGTTAATCCAGAAAATATCAAAGCAATTGCCGAGATGGAACCACCGAAATCAGTGAAAGATATACAGAGGTTGACTGGACGGGTGGCAGCTCCTCATTGGTTCATATTGAAGTCAGCAGATAAGTGCCTGCCATTTTTCAAGATTATGAAGTCAGCCGCCCAGAAGGATGAATCAGGAAAACAAAAGAAATTTGAATGGAACCAGGAACGCCAAGCCGCATTCGAAGAGCTGAAGTCTTATCTTAACTCACCACCTCTACTGACTAAGGCCGTAGATGGAGAGATTTTCTATTTGTATCTGGGAATTTCAGATGAAGCCATTAGTTCGGTTCTGGTGAGAGAAGAAGCCAAGCAACAGAAACTTATAGCTGCACGGAGCAGCAATGTGCTGCACGGAGCAAAGTTGAGGTATCCTATAGTTAAGAAAGCAGCTTTAGCAGTCGTCACTTCGGCCAGGAAGTTAAGGCCACATTTCCAATTACACCCAATCATTGTCCTTACAGATCAACCTCTCCGACAAATTCTGCAGAAGCCAGAGTGCTCTGGAAGATTAATTAAGTGGGTAGTAGAACTGAGAGAGTTCGAAATCACATTCCAGCAGAGATCTGCAATCTGAGCTCAAGCACTGGCAGATTTTATTATAGAATGCACTCCATGTCATTTAACCCCCAATCCAGAGCCCAACGATTGGACCTTATATGTTGATGGGGCATCTAGTAGTAAGGGTTCAAGAGCTGGTGCTTTATTAATTGGCCCAGATGGATACCGAAGTGAACATGCCCTAAAATTTAACTTCGATCCAACAAACAACATAGCTGAGTATGAAGCTCTGCTGCTTGGTCTACAGCTAGCATTGGAGTTGAAAATCAACGCGATCCAAGTATACAGTGACTCCCAGTTGGTGGTGAACCAAATCAACTCAATCTGCGAAGTTGTTGATCCTGTAATGGTGAAATATGTAGCCCTGGTGGTTGAGCTAAAGTGCAAATTCCAGAAATTTTGTCTGAGTAAAATTCCTCGAACTGAGAATGAACAGGCAGATTCACTCTCTAAATTTGCCTCTGATAGCTCTTTAAGTTCCAGATCAGTTTTTGTGGAGGTCTTAGATAAACCAAGCTTTATGAAGCCACGGATGATAGAGATCAGCACAGACCCTGACACGCCGAGTTGGACTGACTCAATTATCTCATTTTTACGAGATGGGATAGTACCTGAGGACAGGTCGGAGGCAATGAAGTTGAGGAAAAAAGCATCTCGGTATACACTCATTGATGGGTTCCTCTATAAGAGATCATTCTCACTCCCTCTTCTACGGTGCTTAAATCCCTACGAAGCTGAGTATGCACTTCGGGAGGTACATGAAGGTGTCTGCGGGAGTCACGTTGGTGCTAGAACTCTGGCCCACAAAGTCTTAAGATAGGGATACTATTGGTTAAACATGTATAAAGATGCACTCACTTTGTTCAGAGATATTCGAAGTGCCAATTGTTTGCACACCTGACTCACCAACCAGCAGAAGAGCTCACGAACTTGGTAGCACCATGGCCATTTGCTCAGTGGGGACTGGATCTTTTGGGCCCATTTGCGAAAGGGGTTGGTGGTGTAACCCATCTGATTGTTGGTGTAGATTATTTCACAAAATGGGTTGAAACTCGGCCATTATCCTGTCTTATCTCCAAGAAGGTCGAAGACTTTGTTTTCAGCTCGATCATCTGCAGATATGGGATCCTGAATCAGATTGTGGCTGATAATGGAACTCAATTCAACTACACCTCTTTCCAATATTTTTGTTCCAGCTACGGGATCAAATTACAGTTCACTTCGGTTTACCATCCGGAGTCCAACGGTATGGTAGAATCTGTCAATAAATGCATTTTAGAAGGAATAAAGCTGAGGTTGGAACAGCACAAGGCCAAGTGGGCAGACGAGCTCAATAACGTCCTATGGGCATATAGAACAACTAACCGAACTGCCACAGGTACTATTTCCAACCCAAGTTCCTTTCACTCTATTTTCATGCTATCTCACTCCCTCACTTGAAACTCTATCTTAGATCAAATATGCATAATATGTAAAGCATATTCTAAAGAATATAATTTCATGAAATAGGTGAAACACCTTACCACTTGGCCTTTGGTACTGAAGTAGTCATTCCTATTGAAATAGGAGTCCCAAGCTTTTGGGTCACCCATTTCGATGAAGGACGAAATGGACAACTGCTTCGGGAAAATCTTGATCTTCTTGTTGAAGTTAGAGAAGAAGCACGACTTCGAACTCTTGTATACAAGCAGAAATTAGCCAACTTCTACAATAAACGAGTCCACCCTTGAATATTCAAAGTAGGAGACCTTGTTCTCAAAAAGGCTAGCCTAATAGGGTTTGAAACTCGTTTTGGCAAACTGGCCCCAAATTGGGAAGGCCCTTATATGTTGGTCGAAGTGCCACATCCTGGTGCCTATATCCTCCAAGATGCTGAAGGGAAGAGAGTTCCTAGAGTCTGGAATATCAATAACTTGAAGAAATTTTACCCATAATAAATTTTTTTTCAAGTGATCTATGTCTTACTGCCCTTTATACTTCTTACTTCGTGATTGTTAAGATTCATTTTATCTCTTACTCTGTGTATCCAAGGTCGATTTGTTTAACACTGGTTCCTTGAACTTCACTCCTATCAATGGATGTCACTTCGCATATGAAGTGCTTTATTTCCATTTAACTTATTTGAAGTGATGTACTTCTTCTTAATTCGTTTGAAGTGGTTTACTTCTCCTTAGTTTACTTCTCCTTAGTTCATTTCTGAAGTAATTAACTTCTTTTTATTTCACCTCTGAAATGATTAACTTTCCTTGAAAACATATCCAAAGTAATCTCAGTTCTTTTATTAATATAAAATAACAAAATCGTAAAGCAAACACAACATGTAATTTCAAAACAAAATTTTCATTCAAAATAATAAAAGTATTACAAACTGTTTTACTGTCTTTACAATAAAAATATCAAAGAAAAATTAAAAAACAGAAATTATTCCTCCGCTGGAAGAGGTGGCTGAACTGGCTCATGCTCAGCTGGAAGAGGTGGCTGTGTTAGCTACTGCTCGTTCGGCAGAGGAGGCTGCTTATCATCAGAAGGAACTGGATGAATCTCCACTTCTGGAGCTGGTTGGTTCGTATCCACTTCAATTCTTTCCACTCCTGCCTCCACTTCGTCTTCCTCTACCCCTACCTCTTCTTCCTCCACTGCAACGAACTCAAAGTCGAAATTTGGAGGGAAAACAGTGTGCCCGTCTGCTTCATGTTCCCACCTCAATTTGATCTGAGGACAGAAATCTACTGACATGCTCTCACCATTTTCCTCCACTCCCTCCTCTTGCTCACCGAAGGTAATCTTTGTAATATCCACCTTGGGATATTCAGCCTTCACCTTCTTTCTACAGTCTGTGAAAGCGATGATGGCAGTTGGTAGCCGGTAGAGGTTGACAATATTGTCAAACGAGCTGGAGCTGATGAAGTTGCTGATGTGCTCCTCCATCCCATTGTGCACCAATAGCTGCACATTCTTCTTCAGCTCCACGTACGCTTCATTCATCAGCGTTATTTCCTTCGCCTGAGCCTCATGCTCGCTTTCAGAGATCCTTCGTTTGCTTTCCTCAAAGACGAGCTTGGTGCTCAGGGAAGCCCTCTCCTGCTCCAGTTGTTTCACAGCTAGAACCACCTCGTTTAGCGCCTCTTGCAATTCCTTATTCTTCTTCTCCAGCTCCTCCTTCCCTTTCTGCAGCTGGTCACATTGCCTTTGCAAGAGGGAGCGCTCCTTCACACTCTCCATGAATTCCTAGGCTAGACCATTCACTCAGCTCGCGCTCTGCAATTCAAAGCAGAGGTTAAAACAAAGATAAACAAACAAACATACCAACGACTACATGTGAATTAACTTAACATACCTCCAAAACATGCTTCACTACTGAAGCCCCACAGTTCCTCAAAGCCTCGTCCCGTGTGTGATGCTTGTCCACTTCGGGGAAAGTGGCGTTGATAAACCTCCTAGCCCTCGTCATGTTCTTCGCCTCGAATAGGCTGCTCTAAAAGGACAAAGGAGGAACAAGGCCCTTTCCCTTGCCAGGGGCTCATACTTCAGCCCCCTCCTCAGATTCCCTGAGCTCAAGATCGAGCTCAATAGGAGGAGGCCTAGGTACGAACTGGGGGCCTTCGCCACTTTCTTCTTCTTTTGTAGTGCCTCTCTCTCCTCCCTACTTTTTCTCTTCAACTGCAGCTCTGGCTCCTCCTCCTCCACTCCAGCTGCAGTGCTGGGCACTACCTCCTTTCCAACTCCTCCCTCATCCACTTGTTTGGTTGAAGTCTTTGACTTCTTCCTTGGCTTCTTGGGAATGGCCACCCCTCCAGCAGTGTTCAAAAATTTGTCCATTTCAACTACAAAACAAGAAAATACAATATTAATTATACAGCTTTATACTCTACATTAAACACTACAATGCAAATTAAACAAACCTTCACTTAAATTGCTTGGCCCATAGAGCTCAGCAACTTCTATGCATTCTACGCTGGTAAGGTCCATGATGTTCAATAAATTCTCCCCTTTCCTCACCAACTTCCCCACTTCTTCCTCCTCATCCTCATTTAAGCTAAACTTATTCTGGTTGGCTCTTTTAGCCTTCCAGGATGATAACTCCTCCACCTCGGTATCCCCCCTCTCCCACTCCGTATCATCTACAAAAAAGAATTTTTCCTTCCATCCTTTAATGGATGAAGGACCCGTAGTAAATAAAGCCCTACTCTCCCTATTTGCTACCCTATGGGTGAAATAATACCACCCCTTATCCTTCCTACTATCCCCTTTTAAAACAAAAAAATACTTAAACATATTTACGGTTAGCACATTAATCCCCTGAGATCGGCAATAAACTAAAAATCCTATTATTACCATCATAGCATTGGGGACTAACTGTGTCAACCCTATACTATAATCTAATAACAAATCTACTAGTAACTCAGGAATTGGAAACCTAAGCCCCGTTGCCAAATAGTGGGCATAAACGGGCATCCAATGATCTCGAGGAGTAGAACATGCCCTCTCCACTACCCCAGCTGGCCTAATTAACACTCGAGAGGAGATCTCATAACTCTCCACCAAATATCCCAAGCTATCCCTGGTCCCGAGCTCAAACTTATACTGCCTCACCTCTTCCACTATGTCTGCATCTATATCATAACCCCTCTCTCTCCCACCTTTTACTTCGACCACAATGATGGGTACACTATCCCCCCCAACCCCCACCACCTCATTCCCCCCAACCCCCACCACCTCATCTCCT